TGGAATAGTCAAATAATAATTACACTTACAGCGTAAATCTCGATGCAGTGATTTTTTGTTAATATTCACAATATTTCTTAAGAAAAAGAGTACCCCACAAAATTATTAGAAACAGTACTCAGATGTTTATATTTTAAAGTTTTATCAGAAAATTAAAAAAATTTAAAAATATTAAAAAGTTTGAAGTTTTGATAACAATATTTTGGAATTTGTTGAATTTTCACGAATTTCGCACAAAATTTTGCAGCTTTGATTTACATGGCCTATGTCAGTGAATGAACTATATTCAAAAATAATAATTGAAACTCAAAAAATCGTATCAGTTTGAAGTTGCAAATATCTGGCTACTGTTTCATTAGGCTTCACTGTATAACAATAATTATACAACAAAAAATATACATATATGCATACCAATATGAATTGAGATTTTTATGGTGTTGTTTAATTATGCATGCAACATACTCTGAATATTAACTAAAAATCACCGTATCAAGGCTTGTATAGTTAAGTATGTATGTTATGTTTTGTGATCTAGCTAGAATAGCTATTTTTTGTTATTAATTCTAAATGTTTTTTTTTTATTGCAATTAAATAGAATTGTTATATGTAAGTATATTCATATGGATGAAAATTTGCCAAGTAAATAATTTTTTTTATATCAAAATGATTTATTGTCATGGGCATATTTTTGAATTTTATATTATTATTATATGCGCTTGTCATTCAATTTATAGTGCGTGGGAATGTAGTGGCAATAAATAAATGCAAATTCAATTTTAATCTTTAAACTCTACAGTTGATGTAATGTAAGTAATAGCCTTTACGAATACTTATTTATGTAGACTAATGAATTAAATACTATAAAAAAATCTGCCTTATCCTGAGTTTCGCCCGAAAAAAACTTCTCCCGAAAATTTTTATTCCACCCATAGTAAATACATGGAAACCAAAAGTAAAAAGTGAACCGGTTCGGGGGAAATGAAAGTCATGATAAGGCCGAATATTTACTATGGATAGAAAACGCAGCGGTGGCACAGTGCAGAAGAAACAGCAAAAAACTGGGTTGTTAGATCACCAGGCAATATTTTGGTACGATGCAGCAGGAACAGCAGTATAGAGCTGGTTGGACATTAAGTCAAAATTTAATAGAAAATGTTTTAACTTTACTGGAAATATCGTAAATAGAATATATACCTTGTTTATACCAACACATAAAGCGCTTTGACCCAGTTCGTTGTGATTCAAAACGGAAGCATAAACCAACTTTCAATACGCTCAGAAATTCGAAAGTGTATTGACTCGAATTTGTTTTCAAATCGCTTTTTTATTTCTCACATCGGTTACAAAACTGGTATAAACACATCAATAGATAACTTACCCGGTTTACCTTCAAGTGCGTCGTGCTTTTATAGTGAAGATATGTTTCTTGCCCTTACTCTTGCTCCTTCTCTTGAATTGCTATTTTCTGCAACTTCGTCGTATTCATTAACTTACTCAAGTTCGTTTAGCACTTCGAACCTCAAGTCCGCAGCGACGCCGTGTTTGAGAAGGATATTGTGCAGAATTGCACAAGCATAAATAATATTTCCGGCTCGCTCGTGAGAATAATGCAAAACTCTATGTTTTGCCAAGCACCTAAAGCGGGACTTTAAAACACCAAAAGCTCTTTCAATGCAATTTGGAGCCTTTAATCTCCTTTGCATTTGACGGCTCTGCGACTGGAGTTAGAAGCCATGGTTCCAGTGGATAACCATGATCTCCTAACAACCAATTGTCGCTGTGACTGTTATAAGTCCTTAGTAATTGAGTACGTGTTGGAGATGTAGCCCAGATTCCTGAGTCATGACAAGACCCAGGAAACCTTGCGTTTATAGCTGTGAATAGCAAACGATGATCACATACCTGATGAGAAAAATAATAGATTGTATAGATTTATGAGGTATATTTTCGTATAAAAAAATAAAATTAAATTTGCTAATTGCTCAGAATAATACGAATACTTGCAGCCTCTACGTTAATGCTGTAGAAACCTTTGCGGTTCATATACAGACAAAGAGGGTTAGTTGTGTCTATTGATGGTGGCGCGATTATTCCTACATGCGTGGAGTCGAATGCTCCTATCGTGCCTTTTATGTTAAATGCCGTATAAAAACTGGAAGTAATGACATGCATACATACAGGGTGTCCCAGAAGTAACGTGCCAAACTTTAGGGCAAGG